TATGCTCTTTGATTATTAAGAGCATAAACCAAATAATATACATTTGTTCTCACATTAATCAAATCTGTAGGTGGGACATGAGCAGGGTTGTGTTTTGAGAAACTCATTCTGGTTTATTGTGAAGAATAGATTGGGAAACTGGTCAGAACATGGGAGTGAGACCAGTAAGAAGGGTATTGCAATTTACACCTGAGCAATCCTAGCATCTTCAACTGGGGTAGAGGGGCAGCGGCACGTAGAGAAGTAGCTAGAAAGGAGAAAGCCATGGCTTACAGAAGCTTGAGGGTGATGATATGGTTGAAGGAATGTTTTTGTTTTTATTTGCTTGTGTGCATTTTAAGGATGACTGAGACTTGAAATGTAGGTGTGAGCCATCCTGTTGAGAGGAAGCAGTTGAACAAAGAGAAAAGGATAACTGCTCATGGGAAAATATGGGAAGAGATGAAATTTAGATATGGAGAGAGATTTCCTCCCCACCCCAAGCTAGGTATTGCCAAGTTGGCTTAAACTTTTGAACTGTTAGGAGTATCTAATACTAAGAAAAATAAAGGATAAATTAAAGACTAGAGTTATATTTGTATTGTCCTCCCTCATTTTTGAAGGGGAAGAGAGAGAAGGTAAAATGAATTAAATTAAACGGTGATTTAACAGCAGTTTATCAGTAAGTGTGTTGTGGATCAGTAAGTGTGCTGTGGATCAGTATGTATATTAGGGAGCAGAAAGTGTTCATACTTACTAAAATCTTTCCCTCACAGCACATTTTGTTTAAATATAGTTAATAGCATCAAACTCTTGTTACATAGAGTTTTAATGGAATACAAAATGACAAACAATATTGGTTTCACCTGTTCTGGTTTTAAGGCATGAAGATGGGCTCAAGTTACCTTAGGTGATGGAGGTTTACTGTAAGGATTCTTCTGAGAGGGAAGGAAGTCCAACAGTCACTCTCTGCAGTTGTACTGATCCAGTCTCTGGAAGTTAAGAAGTTGTCTCCTCAATCCACACCTTCCTGCCCTTCAACTTCCTTCCACCAAGCAGTGGAAGCCATTTTCATGTGAAATCAATATATATAAAACAGGTAAAAATTAAGTTGCACCAATTTAAGTGAAGGTTAGAGGGTTGATCTCTGTCACCCTCTTTTCCATCTTCTGCCCTGCTCACACCTTGTCCTCCTTTTCCCATCACCATGAGGCCCTTCTGAGGATCTGTTGGACATGTGGAAACTCCTGCAACACCGAGTCATTCCTTACTAATTAGAATAGCAGTAATTCTGTGGGCCCTGTTTTTGCTTTGGTGACTCATTGGGAACTTGAGCAATTGCCATTCCCCTCAGATGCTGTACCTACTGCTCTTTTTTCAGGTCACCTTCTTATAATTTAGCATCCATTTGTCTTTCAATCATAATTAGTGTCAGGTTCTGCTGCTGCTACCAATCTTGGTCTTATATTAGAGCACTTCAAAAAATGGGGTCTAATTGGATTGATTAGTCATTATCCAGTATAGAGTCACTTTTTCTGTTGGGGTCTGCCAGACTTTCTTATGGCCAGTTCTAAAAATGGCTGCTTTTGGTACGGATGCCAGTTCCTCATTCTTTCATACTTGGTTAAGGTAATAGGGTCACATGACACAAAGGTTGGGCACAGAACTGCTTCAGCTTGCTTGCCTCAGAAAGTGGTTGTGGGTGTTTTGGGCCTATTCATTACATAAGATGTGCTATACTTCCTTGATATCTCAGTTAATCCTGAGAGTTTTCGTGGTTCATTCTTAGCTTGTTGGTAGTGGTAATCATAATAGCTTCAGCTATCACTGTTTTTCATGTGCAGGGACCGTATGAAGCATTTTACATGTGGTAGCTCATGACCTATAAGATACATTTTCCACATAGAGAAACTGAGTCATAATGAAATATGAAGTTCCTTGTTCAGTTTACAGTTTTTCATTAGTGGAACTGGGATTTGAATACAGGTAGTCAGCTTTCCAAACAATAAAGACTTACAATCTATAGCATAACATTTCTGAGCTGCAACTGACCAGGGAGATCATCTGTCACATTTCCCCTATTTTACTAAAAGGTTCACAGAATAGCCTTGGATTAACTAAATGACATTAAGATAGAACTTTAATATTTATGCATAGACAGATCCAATAGGATATTTAAACTCTAAAGATTGTCTTTACTTGCTTCTTGAATGTTAATAAAATACAGAAGCCTAGTATACTCCTCTAAGTCGATAAAATAAGACTGCCTCAGATGGTTTCCATGTTAGGAATACAGATTCTCAGGCACCACCTCAGACATTCAAATACATTCAGAGTGGGGCTTAGCAGTTGGGTTTTAATGGGTGATTCCAGTGCCTACTACGTTTGAGAACCACTGCCATAGAAGCAACCAAGTTATCAGTTGGAGCAATTTCATTTTGATTGTGTGGAAGAGAAAGCACAAATTTTCCTGTCAAAGTTTTGAAATCACTAATAAACAGCTCAACCAGTGTCTTTTCGTGATCAAGTTGTGATTGTGGTAAACTCTATTTTTGGTATTATCTGAGGGAAAGAGTATATATATCTATATCTCTATATCTCTCTCTATATCTACATATATATGTGTGTGTTGGAAAGTCAAGGCTCCATATTTTGTCTCAGTTATAAACTCATTGACCTTGAGGAACTTTCTTAACCTTTTAAAGGCCATAGCTTCTTTCTCTGAAAAAATGAAATAATACTGTCCACCAGGGAAAATTATACCAAGGATTGGAAATAATATAAGTAAGTGCTGGGTACTTAATAAGCATTAGAAGATCATTGATTATTACTTATACACTTAGCATTGCTGCTTTTTCTCAGTTTAGAGACTGTAGCTTCCTCAACATTATTATTTTTTTTATCCTCACCCGAGGATATTTTTCCATTTTTTGTACAGATAGAGTGGGAGGGAGAGAGAGGAAGGAAGAGAGAAAGAAAAACACCGACGTGAAGGGACACATCGAGTGGCTGCCACCCGCACGACCAACCAGGGCCGGGAACAAACTGCAACCAAAGTATGTGCCCTTAGCGGGAACCGAACCCGGGTCTCTCCGGACCGCAGGCCGACGCTCTAACCGCTGAGCCAAACTGGCCAGGGCTCAACATTATTTTTTAATTTTATTTATTTATTGATTTTAGAGACAGAGGAGAAGGGTGGGGGAGAGAGACATCTGTTGTTCTTCCATTATTTACGCATTCATTGGTTGATTCTTAAATATGCTCTGACGGAGAATTGAATGCACGACCTTGGAGTATCGGGATGGGGATGACACTCTAACCACTTGAGCTACCCGGCCAGGGCCAACACTTTATTAAAACCAATTTGAAAGGTTAATTATGTTTTAATTCCTAAATCATTCCTGGCATATCCTGTATATACTCTACTGCTTTGTCACCTAATACTACATTAGGAGAAATTCCAGGCCAACTGGAAATGAACTCATTTCACTTGAGACGATGATTTTTGTCAAATTGCCAGTTAACTTTCAGCTTGGATTAAACTTTTCTAGAATCTAGAAGAAAACAAGTATATTTTAGTTATTGTAGTCAAAAGTAGAAAATTAATAATGATTTTATTTTGGGTCTCTATAGAACTGAATTCTACCTTATGTAGGATTTTAACAAAAGAACTTAATGTGAATTTTAGGACACTTGATAATTGGATATATGAGTTTGTAAAATGAGAGTTGGGATTCAGTGGACTCAGTGTACTCCTCTAGAAAAAATTTTTTTTATCCTCACCCGAGGACATTTTTCCATTTTTTGTTCAGGTAGAGTGGGAAGTAGAGAGAGAGAGAGAAACATAGACGTGAAAGGGACACATCGAGTGATTGTCACCCGCACGACCCAACCAGGGCCAGGGACAAACTGCAACCGAGGTATGTGCCCTTAGCGGGAACCGAACCCGGGTCTCTCTGGACCTCAGGCCAACGCTCTAACTGCTGAGCCAAACCGGCCAGGGCTCAGTGTACTCCTGTAGCATTGCGAGAATAACATTGATGGTATATATGCTGGCTAAACTGGATTCACCTTTCTGATCCTACATTTTGTCTCTTCCCTTTCTTCTTTTTGAATCAATTTTCTTCTGTAATTATGAAAAACATTTTCATGGTTCCAAAGTAAAAAACTTGAACACAAGTTACATTCAAAGAAGTCCAGCTTCCAAGCCTATGCAGTGTCCTCACTGTTCTCTTCCTCTCCCTATATGTAATCATTTTTATTAGTTTCTTTGTTTTATTTTTACTTTTTAAAAATTAACATAAACAGATTTATTTTTGTCTTCCATTGTGAATAAAAGGTGACATCTTATTTACACTGTTCTGCGCCTTACTTTTTCACTCGCTCCATGGCAGTGTGTATATCTCCTTACACCATTTACAACTGCATAATACTTAGCTGCATCATACTTAGATTTGAAAAAACTGGCATATATTATACTTGGGAAAGGGGAGACAGTTCAGGATCATGTTGGAAAATAAACTACAGTCAGTGGAAATGTTGGAGTAGAATAAAACAAGTAAGAAGCACTTAATCTTGAATGCTCTAAATGTTACCTGTACATGACATTGATTTGTAATGTGGTACTTGAAATCTGTATTAGAAAAAAATGGATTGAAGATATAAAAAGGAATATGAACTCTTTGTGGAACCCAAAGGAAAAGATGGTGGGTTTTCCCCAGATTTACTAAGATGCTTTTGTGCAGTCAGTTCCATCGCTATTAAGAGGTGGTCTATTTTCAGTCTTTATGAAATAGCTAGCAGCTGTTTTACATCTAACCCAGTTTTCATTTGTTTTTCTTTGAGGGTGCAAGGGCTGTGTGTTTAAATTTCAACTTTGTTGAAATGGGACTGCATAAATCTGATAATCCGCTTTATTTTTCTCTGTTAGCTTTGCTGGGTGACCAAGCAAATGTTTTGTAAATATCAAAATTGTGTCTTAAAAGATATGTAATATTTCTTCCCTTCAAATTTTCTTCTAGGATCCATCAGTTACACAGGTGACAAGAAATGTTCCACCAGGACTTGATGAATACAATCCATTCTCGGATTCCAGAACAGTAAGACTATTCTTAATTGGACTATTTTTAAATGTTAAAGTGAAATTAAATAGCAGTTGTATATCAATTATGGTTTCTTTTTTAGTTGAATGGTTAAATTTATTTAAAACAAGATGTTAGTATTTTATTTAGAATTTAGCAAGTTAATCTTTTTTTTTTTTTTAACCAGGAAGGAATGTCAGTAGTAATTGAAAATTACTTTGATGGTCCTAGTGAAATAATGCAAATTTTCTTCTATGTTTTACAAGTTAAATTGCTAATGGCTCCTCTAATATATAAATCTTACTGCAGTATTCTAAATAGGAGAGGGATGTATATTTTTGGTATATATGTTGTCTTCAGGTAATGTGGGGTGATGTCTTCTTGCAATGAAAGAGACCTATCTATGAAACTATACCATGAATATTTGTATGATTGTCATTTGAATTGTTATTCTGAATAGTACTAGCTCTGGTAGACTAGAACCTCTGGGACTTTACCTGGCCTAGAACATGTTCTTTTCTTCAAAATTTGGTCTTGATTTATAAAATGGAGGAGTATGAGAAAAAAATCCTTGTAGATCAGGGGTTCTGTATCCTGGATGCATATAGAACACCAGGGGAGCTTTATTACACTGTTGATTAGGACCCTAATCTCTTAGAGCAGGTTGTTTGTTTTTGTTTTAGCCCCTTTATTGTGAACAGTTTTGAGAACTATTGAGGTAGGTTCTGTTGAGAATTCTCCCTCAAAATTTCTTTGGCAAATAATTTTGTCTCTGTGTTTGTCTTACTTAAATATCATACTCATGAGGTTCCTAATTTTAAACAGTTGGTTGGCTCTTGAAATGTTAGTCATCCTCATAATATTTGAGTTCTTCAGTTGTATGCTTAGATGTACATATTAGTATAATGATCCTTACTTGATCACCTTTTTCTGATGTTTGTTTTTCATAGTCTACAAAATAATTGAAAATGATTATGTAGGAGCCCTGGCTAGGTGGCTCAGTTGATTGGTGCATCATCCCATACCCCAAAATGGTTGTGTGTTAGATTTTGGGTCAGAGCACATACCTAGGTTGCAGATTTGATCCCTGGTCAGGGTATGATGGGAGGTAACCAATCGATGCTTTTCTTTCACATTGATGTTTCTCTCTCTCCCGCTCTCTCCCTTCCTCGCTCTCAAATCAATAAAAAATATCCTTGGGTGAGGATTTAAAAAAAAAAATGATTATGTAGGGGTTCGCTTGGAAATTTTTTTAAGATTTATTATATTAACATTTTATTTTTCAGAAGAGCTTTGTACAAAGTAATAGCATTAAAATAGTAATGAACTTTTATATTTCATTTTATTTTAAAACCCTCATTTAACATCCTTTACTTACATGTAGCAACCGAAACCCAGGCTGGGATCACTAAAATATTAATTGAGCTAGTAAATTTCATATTGAACCATGTGAAATGGCCAATAAGTGGACCAGTTTTGACATGAAAAAATGGTAGTTTCATTTGGGGGGTGGAAATGGGAACAAGACTTTTTGAAGTTTGCTGATAAAGAATAAAAAGAGCCCAGGCCGGTTTGGCTCAGCGGTTAGAGCCTGCGGTCCAGAGAGACCCAGGTTTGGTTCCTGATAAGGGCATGTGCCTCGGTTGCAGTTTATCCCCGGCCCTGATTGGGTCATGCGGGTGGCAATCACTCGATGTGTCCCTTTCACATCTATGTTTCTCTCTCTCTCCCTCTCCCTCTCCCTCTCCCTCTCCCTCTCCCTCTCCCTCTCCCTCTCTCTCCCTCCCACTCTGTCTGAACAAAAAATGGGAAAATGTATTCGGGTGAGGATTAAAAAAAAAGAATAAAAAGAGGTTTTCATATAATTTTTTAGAAGATTTTACTAGCAAGAAATATGTTTAACCTTGATAGCAGCTTTAGATTATATTTATTAGTGATAGCATTCTTTATCAAGTTGTCTTCTTTGTGCCATGTGTTTTATTTGTATTATCTTACAAATTTTTATAACATTCAAAATGAATTTTAAAAAAAAAATATGTTTTTATTGGTTTTAGAGGAAGGGAGGAGGGGTGAGAGAGAGAAACATCAGTGAGAGAGAGGGAGAGAGAGAGAGAAACATCAGTGTGAGAGCCTCCCATACATACCCTGACCAAGAACTGAACCCTACAACCTGGGCCTGTGCCCTGACTGGGAATCGAGCTGGTGACCCTTTGGTGCACAGGACAACATTCAACCAACTGAGCTACACCAGCCAGCACCAAAATGGACATTTTTAAATAAAGTATTTAAGACAAAAGTCATCCAGCTTGTAAGTGGAAGAACTGGTTTACTAACGCATCTGTTTTCTATAAAACTTTTGCCTTTTCCATTTGGTAGTACTGTCTTTAGAGATAGATGTCTAAGAAATAAAAGATATATAGTCCTGGTATGTGAAAAATTTCTCATCTAATTGGAATTTTAAAATTACATAAATAAGATATATCCAGGAAAAATAAAATATAAAAATGTAAATTATGGTCCTAAATGTTGAGACTTTATAGTCAAGGAAAGGTTTAAGTAGGTAGCTATGCAATAAGTAATGACAAGCGACTTTACAGTGAAACACTGAGTGTCAGGACAAGAAAAATTGTAATGACAACATCATGTATTTTCCATTGAACTTTTTACATGGTGAAAGACACAGTTGAAATAATTTTTTAAAAAGTTAAAAATTGAAAAAAATTCCAAAATGGCGGCGGAGTGACCGGAAGCTACAGAGACTGTCTCCCAGAACCAAACTGGAATTACAACTATAACACAGATAAATCGACGGGAAAAAGCAACAGAAAAGGAGCTTGCGAGGACCATATAACCAGGGACACTGACTCTCTCCTGGTAGGATTGTGAAGGCGCGAGATGGGGGCTGGGAGCCGACAGACAGCAGGGGCATTAGCTGGGAGCAGCGCCCTCGGGTTAAACACCCAAGCGGCTCTACAGGTGGCCATCTTGCTCCTTCCCAGGGCTCTGGAGAGAGGCAGCAGCCCCTCCATCAATATCCAACCTCATCCTGTGGGCCATTGAAATGCTAATTGAGGCTCATTAACAACCAGCATCTGCCTCACCCTCAGGAAATCCCCTTATGCTGAGCACCTGAGGGAGTTTTTCAATCAACTGACAACCCAAGACTCTTCAAGTAACCTCGACTGCTAGCCTCCAGGCAAAAAGCTAGAGGATAACAGTACCTTTCCTGGGCTAGCAACTTTAACCAGGAAAGTAAGACTTGACAGTGGTGTTTAACATGGGTCCTCCCTCACTCATCTAAACCCAGGAGAGGGAGCCACAAACAGCAGAACACCAACACCCACAGGGAAAACTTGACAGGCTCCAAAGCCCACTGTGATAGTCAAAATGGTGAAACACAGAAACAAAAGCCAAATGAAAGAACAAGAGACCTCCACCGAAGATGAGATCAATGTGGAGCAGTTAGGCAAGTTAAAAGAACTAGAATTCAGAGCCATGATCTTGAGGACAACAGCATGAGTAAGGACATAGAGATGCTGAAAATAAACCAATTGGAAATTAAAAACCACGAAGAAGAGATGAAAAATGACATATGAGAAATGAAGAACACATTGGAAGGTCTAAAAAGCAGAGTAGAGGAAGCTGAGGACCGGATCAGTGAATTAGAAGACAGGGTAGAAAAAAACCAATCAGAAAATCAAAAGGAAAAATGATTAAAAAACAGGAAGACAGCTTAAGAGAACTGTGGGACAACTGGAAATGTAATAATATTCACATCATAGGAGTCCCCGAAGAAGAAGAAAACGAGCAAGGGTTAGAGAATATATTCAAGGAAATAGTGACAGAAAACTTCCTTAATTTGGTGAAGAAAGAAGGGATTCAAGTTCAAGAAGCACAGAGAGCCCCAGTTAAGAAGGATCCAAATAGGCCCACACCAAGACACCTAGTAATTAAAATGTCAAAAATTAAAGACAGAGAGAATCCTAAAGCAGCAAGATATAAGCAACAGGTTACCTACAAAGGAAACCCCATAAGACTATCAGCTGACTTCTTACAAGAAACACTACAGGCCAGAAGGGAATAGCATGAAGTAATCAAGGTCATGAAAAACAAGGATCTGAATCCAAGACTACTCTACCCAGCAAGGCTTTCATTCAAAATAGAAGGTCAAATAAAGAGCTTCTCAGACAAAAAAAAAAAAAAAAAGACTCAGGGAATACATTAGCACCAAACCAGCACTGCAATAAATGTTAAAAGGACTGCTGTAATTAGTAGAAGAAATAGGAAGAAAAATGTAACCACGCTAAACAAAAATGGCAATAAACAAGTACATATCAATAATCACCTTACATGTAAATGGACTGAATGCTCTGATAAAAAGACACAGAGTAGCTGATTGGATAAGAAAGCATGACTCATCTATATGTTGTTTACAAGAGACTCACCTCACAACAAAAGACTCACATAGGTTGAAAGTGAAGGAATGGAACAAAATTTTCTAAGCAGATGGAAAGCAAAAAAAGCTGGGGTAGCAATACTCATATCTGATAAAATAGATTTCAAAATGAAGGCCATAACTAGAGACAAAGAAGGCCACTACATAATACTGAAGGGATCTATCCAACAGGAAGATATAACCTTGATAAACATATATGCACCCAATATAGGAGCACCAAAATATATTAAAAATCTTCTGGGGTACTTCCAAGGAGAAATTGACAGCAATACAATCATAGCAGGGGACTTCAACACCCCCTTGGAACCACTCAATAGATCCTCTAGACAAAAAAATTGGCAAGGAAATAGAGACTCTAAATGAAACACTAGACCAAATGTATTGAATAGATATCTACAGAGAATTACACCCTACAACTACAGAGTTCACATTCTTCTCAAGTGCACATGGGACATTCTCAAAGATAGACCACATGATAGGACACAAACTAAATATCTACAAGTTCAAAAAGATTGAAATCATATCAGGCATCTTCTCAGATCACAGTGGCATGAAACTAGAA